AATCGATAGCTCATTTTTACATTGTATTGTCCAAAAATAGTTGTCTACTTTAAATGATATTTGCTAGCTAGTTTTAACTCATTTCGTCATAATCTAGTTATTTTACTGCCCTTCGTTGACAGGGTTTTATATATTATATGTATGTACAAATGTATTATGAATTCAGAACGAGGTTTAGTCACGATATGGCTGAAATATTGCCGATGTGACTTTAAATCTTAATTCACTTACTCACGGGTGAGTTTCACCAGAGGGGTAAACCTCTTAGGCCTGTATAACTGTGGGTTTTCTAAACCTTTGCACGTGTTTATGACGGTTGCCGCCCTAAGGGCAGGATACGCTAACCTCTTCGTGATAATCATACATAAACACATGCCCGTGATGCAGTAGGAAGAGTACAACAGACTCTGCTGTTGACAGTGGTTTCCTGTGGACGTGGAAAGAGTTTGTCGGTTGTATCCCCACATTAAACCGACACAGTGGTTTAAAGTTGGAATATTGTTCAAAACAGCGTTAACTCACTCACTCTCGCTTTTAATTTCATTTCATTTTGCAGGCAGGTCTATTCGGGCGAATAAACGCAAGTGCTTGTTAACCATATTAGGCTTTTTTCGCTAATATTGCTACTTGTGCAGATTTGTAGCGTTTGTATTTGAGATTGAGTGAGTGAGTGAGTTTAGTTTTACGCCGCACTCAGCAATATTCCAGATATATGACAGTGGTCTGTAAATAATCGAGTCTGGACCAGACAATCCAGTGATCTACAACATGAGCATCGATCTACGCAATTGGGACCCGATGACATGTGTCAACCAAGCCAGCGAGCCTGACCACCCGATCCCGTTATCCGCCTCTTACGACAAGCATGGGTTACTGAAGGTTCATTCTTGAGATGGAATAATCCGGACATTTGAGATGGAATAATTGGAATGATGTTATTACTCCGAAAATGTACATAAATGAAAAGTAAAGGGTAGCAAACCAGGAAATTTATATCAAGATCATATCATCTGTACACACAAACAATACAATTATCAAATCGTTCTGTATATTTAATGTGGTCTTATTTTCACTCAATTAATTCCTCTTTTGCCATGTATATCTATACAATATTTTCCCACTTTTACCTCTTATATGTTTTTTATAATTGGGTTCCTACAATATTTAAACAGAGAAATATGCGTTGAGTTAACCATCGCATAGTTAATGAAACTGGCATTTAAATAAACTAATACAAAAATTGGAATCCATTGATTTCTACTGATGGCTGCGTGTCAGTTTGAATAATGAATGATTTCTCTAAATGATTAAGATTCTGGTAACTGAATTACGCTGATTACAGCGTCAGGATTAACCTGCCCTGGTCGGTGCGCCCCACAGAACACACTTCAATGTGTTGCTCCTAGAACATGGGGTGCTGGCCCGGTTGAGTTACAAATTAGTAGTGTAGCCGTATAATGCGTTCGAATGACATCCGGCTTCTGTTCGTATGAGATGTCACTTTCTTAATGATGTGTTTGTTTCAGCAATATCTGAATTAACAAACTTGTATATCGTTTGTAAGTAGACTGGAAAACAGTTAAATAAACGGTTTTGAAGCCGGTGCCGTACCAGTCATTTTACTCACGTTTCATACATAGTGACATGGCGTCAGTTAAAAGTTTGTTCATCAACACCAGGTGATGTGTTTCTTAATAACTGGTGAGTAAGTAAGTTGGCTCTAAAGTCATGTCAATATTTCAAATATATGACGGCGGGCAGCTTGAACGTCTTAAGCTATGCAGTCTGCATTTGGCACGGAGTAACTAATCAGGATATAAACATCATATGTTGGCCAATTTCCGGGTTTATTGAGCATTTTAAGCACGGGAATTCATTTGAAACCGACTGCATTAGCATGGTAGCATCTCGAACTGCTCAGTTGTGACATCGTTCGGACGTCACAATATGATTTGAATGACGTCACCACTGCTGACGACGTGACAATACAATGGTGTGAGCGATGTTTGTACGTATTATACGCAGCGGATGGTCTTGCAATTTTCGGGAATCGAATACCATTCGATCATGCTTTTCAAGCAATCAGATTAAAGAACACAGTGACTTTTGGTTTACAATGAGCAATGTAAGGGGTTAGTTTTACATCGCTTTGAACGTTATTCCAGTAACATCACAGGTGTCTGGTTCATGTGGGAGGAAGGCCCGAAGTTATGCAGGTCTCAGACGTTTACCACGAGCAGAGTGCTTGCGTAACTAGAAACATGATCTGATTCGAACACAATCACATCTTCCTGGCGCATCCAAGGGATGCAATTGGGAATTGAGTCGCCTCGTCGGCCCATAATATACAGGAAGTATCCTATTTGAAGCAACACCATGCTCCGACACATATGCAGTCCCGGGGAAATGAAATCAGTGTCGCTGATGCACAATTTGTCTCATTAAGTCATAGTTAATGGGTGGTGAGGTAGTCCCGTGGTTTAAGCGTCCGCTCGTCACGCCGAAGACCTGGGTTCGATTCCCCACATGGGTCCAACGTGTGAAGCCCATTTCTGGTGTCCCCCGCCTTGATATTGCTGGAATTTTGCTGAAAGCGGTGTAAAACTAAACTCACTCACTCACTAACTCACTCATTCACTCATAGTTAATGATACACATCAACATCACAATAATGTCTACATCATAACTCAGAGACAAAGATTTAGTTTCACATTCATTTTCACTTTTTATAATACAGACCACGTGTACTTATAAACAAGTAGAATTTGGGGCCTTTTGTGTAATTTGACTGAAATGCGTTATTGGGATGGCTACATATGTAATTACAACTGCTGTACCAAAGGATGACATTTGAAATTCTGTTCGTCCCTTTTGGCTAAGTGTTGGGATGTTTTAATATGTTTTATGGATATAAGTATTGAATTATGTGATCAAGGTCTAATGCCTCATATCTACACTTGTGTATACCTTTATACCCAGACTGTCACATGCAGTTACTTGCTGTCACATTCCACCTTTAAGCGTATATTTTACCAAAATTCTTTAAACATGTGGATAGATGAAATATATTACGTGATTCCATTTTTCACTGCTTTCATTATTTTGACTTTTGTTTATTCAAAATATGTCATTTTCAGTGCAACGGAAGAAAGTCTAATTCTGATAACAATTCTGAACTAGTTACCTGAGGTAAATCAATTTAGAGATTTTAAACTTCACCATAAAAGAGGTAGAAGTGGTATTTCACACATTGTATTTCTGAAATGTCAATTGCTATTTTAACAATAGCCATTAAATCTTCTGAAAAGACAAACGTTTAGACGAACAATATTTGTGGTTTGAAAGAGATTTCATGTGCCATGCACTCTTTCGAGCATTCTTAAGTGTGCAATAACTGTGTTAGTCTAAAATTGTATATTTGTCAAGTTTGACACTCTCATCTACGTTTTCACATGACATGTGTACTTTATGGCAGCAAACATTCTTGTAGCATGATTGTGCTGCTCAATCTACCATATCACACAACAGTTCTACTACCAACCAACATGTTGTCGGTTCATCTAACTCTCATATCCCGATAACAGTTCTAGTACCAACCAACATGTTGCCGGTTCATCTTTCTCCAATATCCCGATAACAGTTCTAGTACCAACCAACATGTTGCCGGTTCATCTAACACTCATATCCAGACAACAGTTCTAGTACCAACCAACATGTTGTCGGTTCATCTAACTCTCATATCCCGATAACAGTTCTTGTACCAACCAACATGTTGCCGCTTCATTTAACTCCCATATCCAGACAACAGTTCTAGTACCAACCAACATGTTGTCGGTTCATGTCACTCCAATATCCCGACAACAGTTCTAGTACCAACTAATACGTTGTCGGTTCATGTCACTCCAATATCCCGACAACAGTTCTAGTACCAACCAATATGTTGTCGGTTCATGTCACTCCAGTATCCTGATAACAGTTCTAGTACCAACCGATATGTTGCGGTTTATCTAACTCTCATATCCCGAGAACAGTTCTAGTACCAAGCAATATGTTGTCGGTTCATCTGACTCTCATATCGTGATAACAGTTCTAGTACCAACCAACATGTTGCCGGTTCATCTAACTCTTATATCCCTATAACTGTTCTAGTATCATCCAACGGTGAACCCATACTTTGCACATAAACATTGAACTATATTTGCAATTCATTCCTACCTTATTCACCCGTCAGTTGGTATTTATAAGACCAAAGCTTGTGCAGAACAGTAGCATTGACTTTCCTATCATTTGCTACTCAGCGCTTAAGAAACTCGTAACTATTTGCGTGGCTATCAAACGGTAATGCTTATCTGACTTGAAATAAAGTCTTTGTATGTTTTCCAAGAGGAACCAATAATAAACGATAAATAAATATCCACGTCTGTCTGTGAGTACTGCATACATCTCCAGTAGAGACATACTTGGGCCTGTACAGGATGGTTCCATTAACCGACACATTAAAGCTATCGATTAAACAGGGAATTAAATTTTGAGTGTATCATGTACCTATTTGTCCGCTCCAACCTCCTGTGTAGTCAATGACGCCGTAGGGACGGTCACAGGCCCGGAGCATGATATGAGGTTATGGAAAACTGGAAAGCGTGTCTCTCCCTATACGCATTTCCATAATCAGCCAATAAGCACGGGATCGATTGGTGATAACAACAATGAAATTCCTGCAAGGCGACAAATTCCTACTGAATTTGACCTAAAAGAGCAAATGGAAAAGTTCTCACAGCTATCGACAAGGGAGTCGTGTTGAGGAATTTTTGCCAATTGAATGACGAGGACACTTGAAGCGTACTGATTCTGTAGAACTGACTTCGTCGAGAAACTGAATAGGGTAGGAGGTTACTAATTTGTCTTGTTCGCATTTCATCCACTTAAGTGTCAAGTGGTGTCTTGAATATGTAAGACTGTTTCACATTTGGCAGGGCTTCAACAAACGACAAACACTCGAATAATAAACAACTGTATTCGGACACAACAGATCAGCAAATATTAAATATAGTTAAATAGAGAATTCAGACGATGAATGCTGAAAGGTGACCAGTATGGTCGTGAGATGCATGTTTCCCGTCAGTTGCAGCTGGTTGTGGCATGTGCCTTTAGACCAGGACACGTCAGACTTCCATACCTTCAACACTACAAGCCAGTTATATGGACACTTTCTGTGACGTGTGGCAGCCAAACATGTCTCACTGCACAAGTCATTATGATGTACCCGAAGAGCTTCGCGTCGCTTTCAACATAATAATTTGGCACCAATATCTCCCCGAGGCATACTAAAAATACCAAGCGTTTACCCATGTTGAGACGAACCTAGGACTTGTGAATATCAAGCGAACACATTAATTCTAGGTACCCCACAAGATCGCGGAAATTACTCAAAACTTGATAGGAATCCTCTGGATTGGTCATGACTGATTAATGACTATATATAACGTTTCAAAAAGGATATTTATTGCAAAAGAAGGTACAGTCAAAGGACACGAAAATAAAACGTTCACATATTAATTGACAGTATTAACGGTTACGCATATCGGACAGTTCATAAGAGGTGTATCTTTTCTGTCAAAGTATACTTTTATATGATGCCAAAATATAGTCCAATGCTGTATCCAAATATATGACAAATAACATATACGAAGTGTCCACATATGTAATAAAAGTTCACAACGGAGCTGAACTCATTCACGTTAAACAATACAATGTCCTTGTAAGTACGATTGCGTCAAGGAATGTCAGTGTCCTCCACCACATACACGAGTGCATAAAAGTGATATCAAAAACATGTACCTTCGCCAACCTTATGCTATCTACGAGACACCATATCTAACGCCTTTCATCTGAATACATACAAAACTAAATCATGGGTTTAAAGCAAGGGGGTACGAGAGGGCTCACTTATACAGATTAAAAGTACTTACAACACTAAAAGCAAAGCTCGTATTTACATGGGGTATGTACATCGTTTTGTGCACAAACATATTCACCACATGGACACCAATCCACGTTTGTATTTATTATATGGTTATGCAAAGCACGAGACTGTGACCTTAGGCATCATAAAAGAACATCGAGAACTGTTTAAAGATTTATGAAAAATGTCTTTTTAGATCGTGTCCATTAGATGTTTCAAAATTGACAAAATCAACAGCTGGCTTCGTTGTAATTGGGTCAGTATGGGTTTTTGTGCCTCTTTCAGCTACATCCCAGCAAAATCCGGACCGGGAATACAAGAAATGTGCATTACGCAGTCAGCCGGGTGTAGGTCGGACATGCGAACACTTTAATCTCAAGGTTATCCCATCCATACGGTTTTATCCTGAACCCGATTAGCCGTGAACCTTCCAAACATGAACCTGCTCTTTAAGTTAAACATTGTAGCATAAAGTAAGTGTTCAAAATGTTTATATACCGTTTGTAGATTGAAATCCTGCCTGACATAAAATACTTTCCTTAATCGACAATCAATACGACTCCAAAGCATATTTGACTGTAAATTTGAACTATAGCTCACCTGGGTGATTTGATTATACGTTGGTCATGAAAGGGTACTACAAAGATAAAATGTATATCACAAAATCACCTGAATGTAAAGAAAAAATTGAGCATTATATCCACACATGGATACGAGCTGTATTATGTTTTCGCCATCAATGTAACCACTACTTCGATTAGCCCTGAAGCAAACTTGAAGCACTGATGAACTTTGCATACGATATGCGTTTAAACTGCAAGATGAACATGTTCACAAGTTTGAGCACATGTCTTTAAATGGTGTTGCTGGTGTGAAACTGCATGAATTCAGACTTGATGTTTTTCATTACAATTCTCTTGTGTTTACACTTGGGAGCATTTGGAAACGCTCCAAAATATTCCATGGTTTGAAAAATTTGTAAGGCTCTGGAGATACAGCCGTGGAACCATACAAGGCTCATTAAACGTGAAACGCAGCAATGCATATCACAAAGACGAATTGTGTTAATCGGTTTCCACCTGAACCCACGAAGTTGCCGGTCTCTGGAAAATACAAAAGAAATTGTGTACTCTATGGTGCATTAATAACATTGAACGTACTAATTTCAAAAACCAATACGTTATATTCGGTTCAAGATTTGGCGTTTCAGAAAATTACAAATATTAATATAATCGCACTTTTTCTCTCGTGGTGTTGAATCAAATTCTACATGACATGATTGTCCGCTCTCATGCATGAAATTTGCCGATGATATATATATATATATATATATATATATATATATATATATATATATATATATATATATATATCAGATCAGTGCGTTATTTATTATATCAGTACGTTATTAACCAATGGTGCATACACATGACAAACTTACCCAAAACAACACCATTTCGTGCACCATTGTTGTTTGAAGTATGTCTGCCGCTCTCCATGACAAGGATAGATCCAGTCCTGTTTCTAGTGATAGGATACCTTGTCTGTATAGAGATCCAGTCTGTCTTCACGGTGGCAAATGTGGTGGTTGTACTATGTTCTTCGTCTACTTTACTGCGATATTCAGCATAATCTGCGATAAATTGCACAGAGTGAAAACCGGTTATCGTGAACTGTCCCTCACATCATATTATTGACTAGTCCCGATATACACGATATAGTATCCACCAGTTTGTCAGATAACTTTAAACCTTTCAGGCTTTTATCAAAGTAGGAAAGATGGAAGAACACTAACCAGGAAAAAACCCCATCTATCATCACCGTCATAGAATTAGAAGAAAACATATTAAAACAACATAAATGTGAATTACAGATGTTCCCCGGTTGTTGGCGAGATTAGTTTTCTATGGCCAGTGACATAACATACACAAGTAGGTACTACATTTCAAAATAACGAATTGAAAGCAATTAAAAAATTCAAATGGATACGAGTAGCCACGTCATATACACATTCACTTCGCTTTGCAAAATTAATGTCGTCCCTTTGGCGTACCAGGATCCGACGATCGTTGGTTCGTATCCGAGACTGGTCGCGTGTTTGATCATGGCTTGTCAGCAACATATAAGAGCTCGTCAATTTCATCAGCCTGTTAAATGACAAGCATCAGTTCTCTTCGTTTTAGCTGACACGCCGTGATATAACTGAAACACCGTTCGGATATTAAACCCACTATACTCAGTCTCCGAATATCCTCCTTGTAAAATATCGTGTGGACGGTGGAAATAAAATCATAGAAGACGACAATGAGTTATGCAAGGTATTAAACCCTACTGCAATGTACTCACTCACCGTAAAGGGTCATGACTTGACGGCTCGTACCCTGCACGTTGGACGCCTCACAGACGTAGTCTCCGAAGTCATCCGCCTCCAACGTTCGGATCCTCAAGCTGAGTGTGATGGTGTATTCTCCGTCCCTGTAGATGTCGGTTCTGTACTTGACGCTGTTGTTGATCTTATACCCGTGTCGAGTCCACACACTCACAGCATGGGGATTGGCGGTAACGACACACTCAAGAATCGTCTCTTTCTCTTGGTACTGACCGATCCTGTTGTTGGGCAGAAGCACCTCAGGGGGAACTAAACGGAGGCAATGGATAATAGAAGCGTACAGAGAGAGAGAGGGAAGAGAGAGAGAGAAAGAAAGAGAGCGAGATGTTAAAAGGGCGATGATACTAAGCCAAATGGCAGTTCTGACAAGTTTGATTCACGTCACTCAAATAAGTTTCTTGATCTTCAATATTGATACATAACGATTTAGCAGTTAGTCACTCTATATAATCACAATGTATGTGTGCATACGTACGTGCGTGCGTGCGTGCGTGCGTGCGTGCGTGCGTGTGTGTGTGTGTTATCCTAGTTTCCGCGATTCTGATTAAATCGAATCGTAATTGAATGTTATATATATGAATGTTGTTATCACAGTTTCCGATTTTAGACAATTTGTCACTGTTATCCTTAGATAAATACACATGTAAAACAATTATGAATTACACACACACGCAATGGCTTAGGTTGTCACATGGTATTCATTACAATCTAAAAGACACGCCTTTCAATATGAGTTCTATGAAGAGCTAAATACCTAACGTTGCGTCACTTTGGATATTGCTCATACATCAAGCTTACATGCCGTGATAACCTTGAAATAATGCTGAAAGCGGCGTTAGCCCAAACTCTCACACAGGAATCACTGGCACAAGTCTATATGTAAGTAAGGAAATGCATGTGATGACATAAAAGGAAAGATGAACGTTGAAGACATCCCAGCCATAAAAAAAGTTCATAATTTGAATTTTTATCAAACCAGATATGGAATTATTCCAAGACAGCCAAATTGCAATACAAAGTAAATGTACATGTATTTCAAAATACAGTTGTGTATGCTTCTTAGTTTAAGACCAGATTTTCCGAAAAGCACAATTATATATTCACATTCAACTATGACGCCAATCTCTCGGGTGTCCGCCGGTGGGACGCCATTAAACGCTGTACATTTGTAAATCCCCCAACACTCTCGACTTGAATTCTGTATCATCAAAATTTCACGGTGTTCACCAATGTCTGAAAAGAAGAAAAAAACTGAACACGTTGAAGAAACACTCCAATTTAATATGATGCATATTTCATAGAAAACGGTACGGGCGAACCAAAATATGCATGCCATCATGGAATACAATTTCAAAGTAGATCCCCCATTACAACTCAAGATTCAACTGCTTGTACATCAGTGAAGGTTTTGAAATTTATTACAATATTTTAAGAATTCAGTCAGAAAAAACGGCACTCAAGTTCATGAAAGATTTGACAAATGTTATCGATTGGGGAGGGAGTTAAGCTGAAAAGTAAAATATTCATGACACATTGTTACAAAAATTAAACTTTTAACGTCTGGGTCATAAAACGTGCTACATTATATGAAAACTGAAGTGACTTATGCAATAGCTTACTCGTCTACCCTACCTGTGTGTAGATCACTGTCAAAGATACTTTAACGCCTTCTCAAAGAAATATTCAAAAACTCCACAAATATTTGAATTCTTATACGATTCCGGCTATATCATACCAGATGTTTATGAATCAGTACCAAACAGTGATGACACCAGGTGTGAAGGGGAAAGGATCCAGCACCACCGAAGGCACAAAGACAAGCAATACGTAAATCAATATATTTCCAGTTCAACTCGCCTGTGAAGCCTCAACGTTGTGAATATATTAATACATAAGTTATTTTGACTTTAAAGAGAGTTTTTTCTTAGTGTAATTTGGAACTGGTTACCACGGCATATATTTGTGGTAAACGTCGAGAACAATGGATCTGGCATTGGCCTGCGACCTGGCTGATGTCATCTTGGCCTAATGGCATGGGAGACACCTTACGTCTTCATTCAATGGTTTGCCTGGTCGAAGCTTAATTACTAATGCCCCCTTTACACAGAACAGCGACCGCTCTGCCTTCTTTGTGCGTTCTAAAAATATTTAGAACGCCTCTGAACGCTCGAAGAAGGCACGAAGAAGGCAATATGATTGCGTAGGGCGTACAGAGGTCGTACAAAGAAGGCACAGACATCGCCATGGACGGCACAGAACGCCATGGTGACTATATTGAACATGTTCAAAAAGAGCGGTCTCCGAGGAGTTTGGTTGGACAAAGGACGCTCGAACAAGGCAGAAGGGAGGCAGAAGCATCGCCGTGGTCGCAGAATGAACGCACAGCGGTCGGCGAGAAGGCGCCATGTAATAGCTCCGTCAACTGGGGAGATGCCTCTGCCTTCTTTGTGCCTTCCTTGTCCTTGTAGCGTGCATTGAGCACTCACTGTGCCTTCATCCGGCGACAACGGCATCCCTTGAGCGACCATGGCAATTGTTCTGCGTTCATTCTGCCTTCTGTCTGCCTTCCTTCTGCCTTCTCTTTGCCTTCCTTCTGTCTCTTTTCTGGCGCCATTGGGCTTACTGCATTGCCTTTTTAGACTACCTATAAATAGGCCTGTTACTGCTGATTTTCATAGAGTTTGCGAACTGCTGCCGCAAAAGAAGTGCTCAACTAGACGAAGGGCCAAAATATAGAATGACCCTTCATCTGCAAGTCTTGCATTAGTTGGTTGTAGTCCCCGAATTGCAACCGTCTGTGTTGCATCAACCAGGGCGGACCCACCAGCTTCTCCAGCCTCTTCTTCTGCGTCTATTTATCCTTCTTTTCAGGATGGCAATGGCTGTTTCGTTAAAAAATATTGCTTGTTGACCTTGCAACTAACTGTATATATTATATAAGCAGTTCATTGTTCGTGCCTAATTGTGTCGCAATGAAATGTTTTCGCTTTGCCTGATTGAATAAAACTGATGATAGAATGATATACACCCAGGATATTCAGGATGCTGAACAGTCGCCACAGATCGCTGAAAGAACGCACAAGGAACCCAAAAGATTGCTGGAAGAATGCTCATGGGTCGGCGAGAAGGCATCTTCAGACTGCATCGCTGAATGGTCGCCGTTGGTTGCCGTTGGTTGAGTATGGTCGTACAGCGGAGGCAGGAGGAAGGCAGAAGTGTCTCTGAAAGGATGCACAGGACGCTCGAAGATTGCCACGAAAATGCCAGAGGAAGGCAGAAGGATCGCCGGAGCAGTTACACAGAAACATATTTTACTTGAATTGGCGACCGTTGAGCGTCCTCGTCATTTTTAGAACGCACAAAGAAGGCAGAACAGTCATGGCTCAGTGTAAAGGGGACCTTAACAAAAAAAATACAATTAATAAAGAAAGCTAAAGCATTCTTAAAAATGTTTGTCGTAGTTGTATTTAGGAAGACACGGAAAACAAAGACTTTTAATACAAAGTACGTTAAACTTACTGTAGGTCCCCGGGCAGAGATCGGTCTTCTTCTGTGCGTCATCACGATGTATCGTATACCTTGTCCACGTTACGTTTGGCATAGGTATGCCACTGACGTTGCATTGTAACGTGACTGTTTCTCCTTCCTTTACTGTCATGTCCTCGGATGAATAATCCTGCAGGATCTTTGCGGGCACTGTTGGCAGAACAAACAACGTGAATAATACTGCAGGATCTTTGCCGGCACTGTTGGCAGAACAAACAACGTCAATAATACTGCAGGATCTTTGCCTGCACTGTTGGCAGAACAAACAACGTCAATAATACTGCAGGATCTTTGCCTGCACTGTTGGCAGAACAAACAACGTGAATAATACTGCAGGATCTTTGCCGGCACTGTTGGCAGAACAAACAACGTCAATAATACTGCAGGATCTTTGCCGGCACTGTTGGCAGAACAAACAACGTCAATAATACTGCAGGATCTTTGCGGGCACTGTTGGCAGAACAAACAACGTCAATAATACTGCAGGATCTTTGCCTGCACTGTTGGCAGAACAAACAACGTGCATAATACTGCAGGATCTTTGCCTGCACTGTTGGCAGAACAAACAAAGTCAATAATACTGCAGGATCTTTGCCTGCACTGTTGGCAGAACAAACAACATCAATAATACTGCAGGATCTTTGCCTGCACTGTTGGCAGAACAAACAAAGTCAATAATACTGCAGGATCTTTGCCGGCACTGTTGGCAGAACAAACAACGTCAATAATACTGCAGGATCTTTGCCTGCACTGTTGGCAGAACAAACAACGTGAATACTTCTGCAGGATCTTTGCCTGCACTGTTGTGAGAGTTTTGAACGTGTACCGAGAGAATGTGTCTACCAAAAGACCAACATTTAGTTTAGGTTGACTACAGCTTTTAACGGCTTTTTCTGAATGGGTTTGTTGTTTATAGTGGTTTTCTGTTTCCAGTCCTTGGAACTTGCGGACTTGCGTTGTTTTGGTCTTTTGCTGGACATACGAGGCGTTTCTCTCGGATAACGTTTGGATCTTGTCGTAGATGGGTGGTGACAGTGTTTCCTTCAGCTGAGTGTTTTTGTACGTGAACTTTGTGACCCCTAGTTTGCTGTATGAGGATCGTGAAGAGTCATTGCCTGATGTAGTACTTTACATATGACACTGTTGCATGGTTGGAGAGGCTTTATCCTTGCATTGTTATCTTTATCTATCTCTATCTATCTATCTATCTATCTATCTATCTATCTATCTATCTCTCTTTCACTCTCTCTCTCTCTATATATATCACGTATAAAGACTGACTGACTGAGTTTGGTTTTACGCCACTTTTAGCAATATTCCAGCAACATCATGGCGGGGGACACCAGAAATGGGCTTCACACATTGTGCCCATGTGGGGATTCGAACCCGGGTCTTCGGCGTGACGAGCCAACGCTTTAACCATTAGGCTACCCCACCGCCCCCACGTATAAAGAATAAAAAGCAGTTGTTATCCATAGAACGTGTCGTGTATTCAAAACAATGGTTCTTGCTTGAAAACGGTATAAAGATCTTTACAGAAACATCACATCATAACAGAAAAGTTTTCATCCACAAAGTATATTGCCCTAAATACCGAGTGAAACAAATATATGTTTGTACAATCTTTACGTTGGATCAAACACTTGAGTGTGTCTAACTTCTAAAATCAGTTTTAAGAATACACTAATCTTATGCAAGATCATATTAACAGCTTCTAAATGTTTTGTTCATTTCTTATATTAAGTAGATCGATTTGGCTACAGACGAACATTATCGTCATTAATTTTTAAAAACGCCCAGCTAATCAGTCTGTTACAGATCACCCATTCAGCAAAGTTTTCCATTATAACAGACCAGAGTTGTTGCCAGATATCGTTCGAATGCAATCCGAGGTCCCGGAACGATGACTAAACATTCACAATGTGAATTTGAATTATGCCCGACACCATGACGCGTTCAGCTCACCTTTTATCCATATAACGAAAAGCTAGGCATCTTTTTGTGCCAACATATACCGATAGAGGGCCTACAGTGACATTAAAGGTGGATGGAAATAGGGGAAATGCTTTAAAAATATCATACTTCAGCCTGATTAAAAAGAAATCAATTGACCCCACCTTTCAAATGCTAATACCGTAACGATGCATATATTTGTTGCAAAGCGAGGAAGACATTCCGTACATAAAAGCGTAATCATGCTTGAGATTAGCTCATTTAAGTTAAAAACTGACAGAACTTATAGAAAGATGTTGAACGTAAGTTGCAAATTTCTTTCCCCGTGTTTTTATTTATGATAGTCACATCATTCTGTTTTGCAAAGTGAGCATAACGTATGGATGCTGAGCATGAAAGTTACACTCTGTACATCTCATTTTCGTCCTCTAACTTCTGTGGAATCTTCATCCTCATTGAGTCAGTAGAACCCTTAGTTCATATCACCGAGCTCGATCGATGAACATGATGTCAGGTCTGATTACAAATTACATTTCCTTCCATGCATCCGTTACATACAGTACCGAACACTACAAGGTGTTAGTATATATATGTATTCAGCCGTAGTTTATAGCCAGTTTACGTTGATGAAACCCCGTGTTCTCTCTCCAAGAAGTGTCTGCCTTCTAGCCCACTAGGCAATTGTCGTAATAGAGGACATTAAGGCCTATCACTTGTCGTTACAGCCATTTATACGACTCAGGAGGGATCAACTTGGATTAAATCTACTATGTAAATACCTCGGATGTGTATTTAATTATCGTGGCGCATCTGTTTCATATTCTTACAAGGAAGTATTGAACGGCCAATCGAATACAGCTATCTTAATTTCCCTCCGCTCCCAGCAGATGCTCTGTCGTGTAGTTAGGAGTATCGATCCAGTATGAACATCAGCTTGTGAAGGCGAAACTTTCAAGATTACCCGCTTTGTTTCCCTGATCTGTAATCATTGTAAGGTATAACACGCCTGAAAAACAGTATGTATTGAGTTGCTGGAGTACGAGGCGGTGATTAATTTTCTTGTCGAATATAAAAACAAATGGATAATTATTATTTGTGGGTTTCTAACTTGTTGAAGTTATATATTACACTTCTTATCGTTGTCTACATGATTGTTAACAAAGAGCAAGTGAAAACAATTTTGAAAATCTTCATGAAGACTTGAAAAACTGAAAGAAAACCATATTCAGTAATAATATTCTTTCGAGCTGTTTTCACACACTAGTAATTATTAGTATAGTACTTTTGATACTTTCTTTTAAATTGATACACATATTCGTATAGGATGATATCAACCCCAAAATATCAAATTCAATATCACTGCAAGTTGGCCATAGTCTTGTCTTCCTCAATGACATGGACAATTGAAAATAACCACTAGGGGTCATTGAACAAACACACCCACGTGCGTGTTTGTATAAAGAACACACATATCAATATTTGGTCACATGTTTCTAGAATAATTCCATAATTATATATAACAATACACTACAGAATATAGATCTGGAGTTTACAGGATGAAGGAGACGACGAATGTAAATAGCTAATATCCGTATCTTTCATATCTTCGTTAAACAACAGACAGACAAACATTCAATATCCCTGAAATCTTCCTTACCATCAACTGTAAGCATGACCGTTTTTATTTTGACTGGTGTCGTATTCACTTGGCAGTTGTATGTTCCTTGGTCATTCCTCTTTGTGTTCCGTATGTGAAGGTTCCAGTCTTTTGTTAAGGGTCTCTCAATGCTTAATCTCCTGTCATCAATGATACGCCTGTCTTCAAATGTCAGCAGAGTTGACCATTGATCTGTCCAGACAACCTGCAACAGGAATTCATTTACAGCTATATCTGGACAGGGGCCAATATTAATGTTGATGATCGATTTCTCTCCTGCCCAAACAGTCAGGATGGTGGTTCGACCCCAGCTGCTGTCTTACAGAAGATGTTATAAGATGGTACTTGATACTCTGCCTGGATACTCGGCATTAAGATGATACAACAAAGACTAGTCGGTTTGGAGTCAGTAAACTGTGTGAGGGTCCCTGTTACACTGTGACATGGTATCACAGTAAGTTGGCTCTATAAGTCAAGGCATAGGTCCAGGCAAGAACACACACACACACAAAACACACACACACACACACATCGCTCGATGAAGGAATTAATCTGGAACTTGGCGTTACTTCCCACCAACAAATCTTCTTCAGGAAGATGTGAACCTACACTTGTCTTACATTTACCTCTCGGGGAATGGATGGTCCAGTGGTTTAAGGTACCACAATTTATTATGCGGAGTTGACCACCCCAGACACTTTGATTCTGGGTTCCAACCCGGTTTAGCTCCGATCATGTCAGCTCCATGCACATGATGGTGGGTTTCACTAAAGTGGTAAGTCTCTGAGACTTGCATCTAAATATGATCTGGTCTGCATGACCTCTCCCTGGTTCCTGAGATAGACGAGATTCTCTTGCTCGGTTCATTAGTTGTACATAGTGTTTGGTGACCCTGTTAAAATACGTGTAACAAGTACTGTTCATTTACCGATATGTATGTGTATTTACCTGTCTCAATTATTCACTGATGGCCCTTATAACTGACAAATATAGAGACATACAATGTATACGATTTCTCGAATCAGGTGCACTTTGTATACAAATGTTGCCTTTCTTCAATGTACGTTTCTTCCTGATATTGTGAACGGTTTTATACATCGCTTTCAGCAATACATCAGTTATCAATGGACCTCTATCGGGAATCGAACCCGGATCATCGACGTGACGAGCGAGCTTTTTAACTACTTGACTACATGTACAATTTCAATAAAACCTGGTATCAAATATCTGAAGTATTCCGTAATGTGTTCTGTAGATGTGTTAAACTGGGTAATGTGAATATCAGACACATTAACTCTTGAATACCGAATGCCATGTTAATTCTTGATATAATCTTCATCTATATCTTCATATCCTGGTAATGAACGGGTAGTATAGTGGTTGAAGCATTTACATATCTTAACGAAGAACCGGGTTCTATTCTGTCAATCTTAGAAGGTGTGTTTTCCCCATATGAAATCGCTGGAAATTTGCAACATATTTGCCACAGACATTATCATCCGTCCCCTTGATAACGGAGGCATGTATTTATCGATCCAACCTCACATCGATCTTCATTACCAAATTAGTGTGGGGTGGGGGTGGGGCGGTACCGACAACGTGAAAAAGGACGCCGCTATTCCTAGGTTTCTTATCCGATTCGCCATAACCGTTACTAGGTTTGTCATAATTAGCATCTTACTCGTTGCCCGTGGGTTTCACCAAAGTGGTAAAAGTTTAACACCTGTCTCACTTTGGGCTTTGTTACCATATCAAGCTGCATCAGACACGTCGTGATGATACTGAGATACTGTTGAAAGAGGACTCACTCTCTCCATGATAACAAACAGTGAGTGACCGAAAGTCATTGATGTCTAAAAGCACGTTATCGAACAACGCTCCATTTACGAAATCAGTCAATAGGACATCATCTATGGTAAACTACAAATGAGGCTCGCAAGATGACTGGATGTGTAAACGATGTTATCGATGAGAGACTGCTCTTTAGAAGATACCTGAATTAGTGTTTATGGTTACGTTGGAAAGAGTTGACCTTAGCGTATCAGCAAAACAACCATAGTACGCTTGGTGTTTCAAATGCCAGTACGTATACATGTACAACTGTGTTGTCTCAAACATTCATAGTAAGTGTGGTGAGCAATGATATAAAAAAGGGACAAAACGTTAGTGATTTATTTTCTGAGTGTGTCCAAATTGAAAGACACAACATTTTATATAAGTGTGATAATTTCAATAAATTTTGAGTAAAACGAAATACTAATAATTGCCTTAATGTAACACCTTAACTACTAAATTGGACGGTGTAGATGTACATCTTGTGGTCATTAGAAGTTTGAAGGGCTGGATCAAAAGGCCTCATCGGCATCCTCCCCAACAACACACATTGCTCAGCTGTATAGTGCTGTCTGTATTGCATGGGAACCCACTGTACAGTATTTGATTTTAACATACGTTATCTTAATTTTCTGTTATTAAATGTCAACATGTGAAAAAAACGATGCTGCTTTTGTGATTGAATTCATACTAATTTAGGTCAGTAACGAATAGAACATTTGTATCAGAATAAAATCAATATTAGAATCTGTAAACATATATTCGAAACAAAAGAAAATATGACAAGAGTTTCCCATGTTTCAAATCTACTCATGAATAAAGGACAACAAATGTCCATGCATAATGCTGTACATTCTGTTTCAGTAGTTGATTTTTAACGTTTTGACAAATCGTGTCTAGACCTTTCAACGATATACATGAACACTTGAAAAACCGGTCATTGAATAACAAATCTCAGTGCCAACGAATAGCGAGATTTGACTATCCTCTAAAACATCACTTGATGACACCAAGGGTAAAAGTGTCTTTCCCTATCGGTTGCATTCGCAATAAACTACACTTGTCTGAAAACGTTGTCCAAAGAGAAACAATATTCTCTTGATTTGAATTGTGCTTTTGAAAGAGATGTATGTTTCTTATTAAGATGTTTCTGTGTATTATAAACGATATTTGGTGATTTATATATGAAGATAACTCCAGGTAATGTAAACGCTATTGAGATGTCTGTGGAATTTGAAAGTGGTGGTTATTAAGATATAGCAGGGACTTGAAAACGATCCGTTTTGGGCATTAATATTAATATGTATTTTGACACTGTCTATGTTAGTTATTAAGATGAATATGGGTATTGAAAATGAACAGAGTTGGTTATTGAGCTTAACTTTGGTTTTGAAAACGTCTTGTGTTAGCTTTAAGATAATAGGTACTTGACAAGATATGGGAATGGTATCATGTTTGCACTGGATATTGCAACTGATACGTATTAGTTATCAAGCTGATGAGTAAGGCTGAAAAGGTTATGGGTTCTTTACCAGGATTACAATGAGTATCATTTTAAGTAAGGTTTTTGGAAATTAAACTAAATGGTCAGTTACCAAGATGAATATGTATGGAGTACTGATACAGCTCATATTCTTCCACATTATTTCGAACACCTGGTACCATCACTGTGTGATAGTGCTTCATAAACACAAGATCATGGTATAGTCGGAATTGTACAGTCGACTCTGCTTTAAGCTGATGTTTCTTATTAATGTAGGAAGTTTTTTGTTGCTTTCATTTACACACTTTCTCTGAAAATTATCAGTTACCCAATAGGGAGTTAGTTTTATTCTGGTAATATTCTGGCAGGGGAAAAACAGAACAAACTCCATTGTTCTGCAAATTCTGATCAGCAAACGCTTCAACCACAAGGTCGCTGTAAAGCGTCGTTTCCCGTAGATGTCCATCATACGGATATGGAGCAGACTATGCATTGATCATAATCGAGGGGAAATCTGGGAATCAAACCCAGGCTGAAAGCCTATCAAACATCAAAGGGGTATAACTCTGCACAATGTGTGTCTGCAACCTAAACTGTTACACGTCAGACCATTTCTTAAAACAGGAGATATAAAACGTTTGACAGAAGTAATATAATTTTAAACACCGTGTTCCCCCGAGAAAGCTACAGAGGCTGGTTCCGACGATACTCCCTTACCTGGTAATCTCCGAGATAGCTGACAGAACAAGGCAATATGGCGGTTTCACCTTCGTTTATTGTCACATTGACAACGGGCATGTCGAAGGCAGGCTCGAATGACAGTGTATCTGAAAGGTCAAGAAACACATATTTTAATCATCATCCCCTGTCCAAATACACTGTGCAGGTTAATGTAGGTGAATGATTGTCCCTTTAAAGACGTCGAACGCTTAGACAGTTTCCACCAAAGCGATACAGAAATGACATTTTAATTTCACTGGTTGTGAGAAGAGAGTTTCGTTTGTCATGATCCTGAGATATTGAACAGGAAATATAAAGAAACTGACATAAAACTGATAAGTTGCAGACGGAATGATTTCACAGTTTTTTCTTGACTGAACTCGTGATAAAATGTTATCACTTTGTGACGTCACCAAAACTATTAAAAGTGGACACATTATTTAGCACAATTATTCACCATGTCTCTTGTCCTTGTGTATAGTGTGTATTAGGGGGTAATGTTCAGTTAAGTTCTCTAAAGCATTAACTTCAAGTCTTCAAATATCACAATACTTAATCGTATAGAATAAATATTACTTAAAGGAAAGGTTATTGGTGTGAAAGCTTGCCATGGCCTACTCGTTGAAGTCATTCCACTACTGAGCAGTAAGGTGAAAACAGTAAAGGGAAACTGGAGGCAAATATAGAAATGCATATAATCTATGTACATACAGATGTGCAACTGAAGTTTTATTTTACAGAACATGGTTGCACAATCATGCTTAATGTTACATTGTGAGGAGGAAAGTTTTGAAATATAATCAAGGAAGTGCAATGGCAATTATGCAATGCAATACGCGAGTACTTATCCCATAAAATACAAAACATCGTTTGAGTTAATGTTGTGTTGAACAGTACAGTTGTATTGAACAGTACAGTTATACTGTTTAATTGCTTGTATGTCAGAAGCGGATAATATCATGGCGTGACACGAAGGAGTGAGTGAGTATGATTTTACGCCTCTTTTGGCACAATTCGAGCATTATCACAGGCTTCACACACGTTAACATGGGATTCGAACTCAATACCAAGCATAACCACTGATGTTTGTTTCACGAAGAGCGATGCACTCAGCACTGAGCCGCCCTAACCCCTAATAACATATCGGGGAATATGTTACACATATATGCTTTTGTTGTTCTAGGTGTGATTAAACTGAAGGCAAAATGTTCATGTGTGACGTCCATGGCTGTTTTATTTTCAGGTTCAGTTAGTATGGGTATTTCGACATTTGCTACTTCAATTGCCGTGAAGAGTGCCGCTGGGTTCTTTCATTTTCATCACAGTTGTTCCAATGTCCTTCCAATGAATCACTGGACGAATAAATATGTGCAGAATTACACACGTCTCTCCGATTAGTCACAACGGCCCCCTTAATCAAACATCAACCGCCAGAGGTAATTGGAATATTGTAATAATTTCTTCACGAGCATCAATGATTGCATCAGTTATTGGGATTGAGGCCCATTTTAATTGGACACGGACTTTGACCACGGTAAGTAAGTATCGATGGATCATTTTCTGGCAGTGTTAGTGGTTGTCGTATTGGTTAAGGTTGAACAAGACAGCACTGGTTGTATTCATTAACCGGAGTAGTCGTGAAAATAGAGCCTATTGTCATATTGACTGCAGTGGTGGTAGACAGTATAGTGAGCATTAACAGAACGCACTGGACGTAACTGCAGCTTGGGTGGTGGTAGTGGTAGCAATGGTGGCAAATGATTTAAAAGCGGAAGGGTAACATTACAATGTCAGCTTAGTATACATGTGAGCAATATGTTTATTTTAAATGTGCGCATTGAATTTTTAATTTTCTTTGTAACAATTTACTTATGTGATTTATCATCTGATGTAATCTTGAGGAAGCGGAGAGAATTCAGAAATAGCACATTCATGTATCAATGGTAAATCTTTTATTTTCCCACAGGGATGAAAAGACGCGCCAAGTCGTTCCGCCAACATACTAAATTGATGGATATCAGATACTGGGTATAATAAACATCAAACTATAGGGAGTCAGTGGTTTGGAAGCAACGCACATTATGGCACCATTGTCAGTTCAAATGACACGTTTGTATATGGTATAAGACTTGGGTCGTTAATGCCTTTCTTTTGTACCAGACCAAATGAACCATGTTCGCTAACAGTTTTCCCAAACACGTACAGACATGGCTCTCAAGACATTCATAAAGCGTTTTCTCTTTCTGGAAGCTTATTTGATGTATAGCTGAAGGATATAGTTGCCAGGACTTCCAGGATGTTCCAAACTCCTGTTTTGACAATGTGTCCGTCCCCATCCCTGTAATAGGGTTTAACTCTTGCACATTCTGCATTAGAAATCAATAGTCGACGATGAAAGAACAGCTCGTGATTGATAATAATGGGATGCAAAGTTCATTAACAATTGCTCTCACTAGGCGATTGCAGATAACCAGACCCATAAATATTCCCCGGAAATGTTGTGACAGAACATATTTAGGGCTTAATCTGAGCAAACTATCGTTTATTGCTCTTATTTGACGCCAGTTAAAACACTAGCGGTTACATCAACACGTGTTCTTTCAATAAAACACCAATGTGATAAAACAGAGGTTTTATCGGGAATTTGCATTTCATCAACGGTTGTAATATGATTTCATATGTCTGCTTGCACGGACTTGTGGGTGTTTCGTCCCCAAAAAGTGATTATCTGTGGTTTCATTGTTTTTGCTCGTTTTATATGCTCAAGCCATTTCCACTATATCTCTTCAGGTTCAATGTGCTTCTGAAAAGAAATATGTTGATGTCGCTGGATGAATGTACGTCGCAAAAATCCTATAGCTGTGGATTTAAATTTTAATTATAAGGGAATTGTCGAGCATCTTTTCAGATTTCAATAGGAAGGTCATAGCATTTATCACAACTCTAATTATGAATTCTCCTTAAGGCAAATCAAACAGATCCAAATACTTCAATACACCAACTACAAGCCCTCTGTACACAGGACGCCGTTTCGAGTACTATGATTTAAGCTACATCATGTAATTAAGACCATGTCGAAAAAAAGATCTAGTTGAACATCAAGAAAGGAAAGAATGTAATATACTCAAATAGAATCTGTTTGATTGGCATTTTAGAACTTGGTGAATAATTAGAAAAAGGTAAGATACTTTATTGATAGTATACTAGTCAAAAAATGGAAACGCATAACCTAGAATTCTGTTGCGAACATGTTGTATTTTCAAACATGTATAACTCGTCCACAAATAGACTTTAGTACATGAATTTTGGCATCAGTTTAGAAGAAGGAAATGTCTATGCACCAAGTGGATAATGTTAGATAAGGGAAACGTTGACGTCATGTTGACGTCGTAGCACGGGCCCGACGTTTGATCTCCTGGCTCTCAGTCCAATCTCTCTCAACCCGTTCCGTACAGTTTGACCGGATATCCTCCGAAGTCCAGGCACCCTGGCTGCTGTGCTCTCACCCGTGGCAGTACGATCACGCAAATGTAGTGCCCGGATGTACCGATCTTGGGCTACAGAGGTGACTCGAGGTCTGCCTGTACGGGGAGGGTCATTTGTTATACCTGTTTGGTTTTAACGAGCTGTAAGCCGTGTTATCGTGCTCAGAGTAACATTCAGACGCCTGGCAACAGAAAATTGGTAATCTCCAGCGTGCATTCTTTCAATGGCGATGTTCCGTGTCGCAGCGTCAAGACGTGACGTAGTGATTTGATCTTCAAACTCCTTCAAAACGAATGCCGATTTCCGAAAGTAACTGGAAGGTGATTTCTGTTGCGTTGTGGTGATGCCTTTTGAATCCTTAGGTAAGAAATCTCGGTAAAGTTGGTTTTTTTACTTGTGCAATTGTGTGAAATCATGCTATCAACACTTTTGTGCATATGCGTTTCTTTTTTACATAGTATTTAAGAAAAGATGGTGGTATCCATAAAGTATCGTGTTTTTTTCTTATTACTCACACACAAAAGATACAAAAGGTACACACAAACGAAAAACAGAATCGGTGTTAAACGTTTACTGCGCTTCGTTGTAGGGCAGAACTGACGTAATAGGAACTCTCAGGAGTCAAGACCCTTGAAGGTCCGGGTTAGAATATTGGCCTTCAGTAACCCATGCTTGTCGTTAGAGGCGACTAAGGGGATCGGGTGGTCAGGCTCGCTGACTTGGTTGACACATGTCATCGGTTCCCAATTGCGCAGAATCGATGCTCATGCTTTTGATCACTGGATAGTCTGGTCCAGACTCGATTATTTACAGCTCGCCGCCATACATGTATAGCTGGAATATTGCTGAGTGCGGCGTAAAACTAAACTCACTCACTCACTCAGGAGTCACGCTGCCAAATACGGTCACCCATCCAAGGACACTCCGCGCTCAACGTTGTTTAACCTCAACTGATTTTGGACCTGGGCTCTATGAACAGAACCACACAGACACTCTACATGGAGTCCACGTCAGGCAATATTATCTGGTGATGTGATGAAGTCTGACGATTACTCCACCGGACTGTTGAGTATCTAATAGCGTGGTGTAATTACATTTTGGTAAGTTCTTCATCCCTGGTAAAATCACCCAGTAATGTCTTACCCTGACTACACCCTAGCTGCAACTCTATTTAGCTGATGTGATGTCACGTTTGGTGTCAGCTAGGCCTCTGTGACGTAATATTGATACACATTAAGAACAGCGTATCCTGCACCCTGGGTATGAGTATCCTCCACAGTCAGGTAAATTAATACAGGGCCTATCCTACACCTTAGGTTCGAAAATCCACTACTCAAGTAATTTTATAGTGCGTGGTCTCCATCATTGACTCAAGTACCCTCATCACTGATGTGACTTACGATATAGCGTACTCAGTGCCAAAGTACAGCATTAATACTGGAAGGTTTCTTCGCCCAACGCACAATTCTATCTCTGTGGTGCGAGTGTCCACACTGTTGAGGAAGCTTATGTTTTGTGTGTCAACACATGTGACATAATCAGGCTGACTGACTGAGTTTGGTTTTACGCCGCTTTTAGCAATATTCCAGCAACATCACGGCGGGGGACACCAGAAATGGGCTTCACACATTGTACCCATGTGG